GAGTTGTATCCAGAAGAATTTGATACAGACAGGTAAAGCCTTAAAATACCAAAATCCTAAATGGTTTCCTTTGGACATTAAAATAGTCCAGTCCTTAGATTTATGCCGTCTCTCTGCTCTTTTCTTTACGTGGTACTGTCAAAAACTTTTGCCTCTACACTAAATCTAATTTCCCCACTGCACTCTGGTGGAAAATTGGTTAGTCCAAATTATCCAGACTCTGGTTTATGGTTTTGATTTTCCACTAATTTAAATTTCTGTGCAGAGCAGCATGTGAGTCCGTGGAAATTTCCTTCTGCGTGCAAAGCTTTGCTGAATCTTCTCTTTGATTACTGGGATGGGGCAGAGAGACCTGAAATAAACCACAAATGGCTTGATAAAGTTTACTTCACTTCATTTTGTCTAATAGGGTCCCCAGTTTTTAAAAACTGAGCCTATAAGAATTGTCACTATGAAATGTTAATTGGGCTTAGACTTTTGCGGCAGTGGTGGGATTCAGTTTTTGTTACTACCAGTTCTGTGGGTATGGTGGGGGTGTCAGGGGAAGGTTACTGTAAAATCCCCATTCCCTCCCGATCAGATGGGACTCGGGAGGCAGAGAATAGATGGGGGCGCGGCCAGCCAGAGGTGGTATTTACCAGTTCTCCGAACTACTCAAAATTTCCGCTACCGGTTCTCCAGAACTGGTCAGAACCTGCTGAATCCCACCTCTGATTTTCAGTTATGGCTCAGCTAAAAAGATTAGGAAAGGTTTTTAAAAAACACAGTTGTTGCTTTTGGCCAGTTTTTTAAAAACTTTTCAGACAAGGTGCCCCAAACTGAAGCCCCCTCCTGCTCGTGTTTTGCAGCGACCGGGAACCAGAAGAACAAAACTCCGTGAATGGCAAAAGGAAATCTCAGTCGGGCAAGCCGAGTTCCGCGAAGCTGCACAAAAGGAAAAAGGCCAAAAAGTCACACAAGAAGAAGCAGCAGAAAAAGAAATCACACAAGAAGAAAAAGAAGAAGAAACGCCAGGAGACGCTGAGCACGGCGGCGGCAGCTTCTTCCCAGGAGTCCGAGTGTTCGGAGGGAGAGCCCCCCAAGAGGAAGAAGAAGCGCCACAAGAAGGCCAAGAAGGCCTCGGAGCAGCCTCCCGAGGCCTCGTCCTCAGATCCAGGCAGCGGCTCCAGCAAAGCCAGCAGCTGCGCCTCCAGCCACTCTGGGGACAGTGACTCAGGGGAGCCGGCCAGGAAGAGGCGGAAACGGCAGGCTTCCCTGTCCGAAAGAACAAGCGACAGGGCGCCGGAGAAGCGCAACAAGAGGAAGAACTGGAAAGTGGCGGCTGACGAGAACTCCGAGGACAGCTCGGAGGAGGATTAGAACCCAGCTCCAGGACACCCACACCCACACACACACCCCTGACCCAGCCCTGCTTGGAACAAACTCGGATTTGGTTCTGCTGGCAGGTGCAGGGGGCAATTTGAGTTTTCCATGGGCCAGAGAGAAAAACAAAGGCTTGGATTTCTTTTGGCTGCCACGGATTCTAGCCGGACAGTCCCTCTGTTGTCGTCCCCTCATCAGGATGGGCCTTCCCATGGCAAAGTTCCGCTCTTGAAGGCGGCAGGAAGGCTGGATGGTTAGGTCTTCCCCCTTTGCCTTTGACAAATCACCTGTGGTTTAATTTTTGTTATTCGCGAAGTCCTGCAGGCGGATTGCAATAAAAGGACGAGGGAGAGAGGTGAGGAAGTGTTCCCCGAGCAGGTAGGCAGGTCTCGCTCTCTGCTTTGAACGTGCCCTCTCTATAGAGGTAAGGGGGGAGACTGGCTCGGAGTAAACCAAACAGCCCCCCCCCCCCCTGCAGCCTTCGTGGTCGACTTAAGTAGTCACCTCTTGAAGAAACGAGAGACCACCGCCTCTCCCATACGTGGAAGAATGCAGGTCATCCTATCCATCCACTTGCCATTGGGGGACCAGATCGTGTTCTGGCTGGCCGTGCCCGCTTCTTAAATTATCTCTTGCTGCCCAAAGTTAATTCCAGAGAAAATGCAGAGTCTCCAGGTTCTTGTAGCTGAATTAAAAGGATGAGCAAGAGGGGGAGGATTTATCTTTGTGTGTGATACCGAATTAAGAGCCGTGTTATGGGTGAGATTTCTTTCTCTTTTTTGGGGGGGGGGTAAAGCTCTTCATGGCTTTCTAATAATGCCGATTAAGTGGCTGTGGAAGGACATTCCAAGGATACAGCCCAAATCACATCTGCCTCCTACCTCCCCAGATACTGCTAATTTAACTGCTAATTTAACTGCAGTTCTGCAAGAGGGACTAGGCACCCTGGCGGGAGTTCAAAGCTTCCTTAACACACTGTTCTTCCTGAAATGGGGGGGGGGGGAGCCTTGGAAATCAACAAAAGAGAGAGATTTACTAAATATGCCTTTACACACTGAGCAGGTTTGTTGAAAACTGAAGGGCACTAACACAGAACAGTTCTCTATTGCTGGCCATCCCCAATTCCCCTTCATAAAGTTTTGGAAAATACTCAACTTCAACCTTCTGCCAGCTTTGTATTTAACACCCCTCCCCAATTTGTCTAGCATTAAAACATCTGTGGAATGACCCTGTTCTAAAATGTAGAATGATAAGCTGGGCTTTTTTTTCTTCTTCTTTTTTTGGGTCCTTTGTGTACAGGGATATAAAAAAGTATTTTTGGAAATAACTGTTGCTACGAGAAGCGAAGCCATTGAAATTGTTTCTATGAAAAATCAAAAAACTTATTTTTTTATACATACAAAAACACTGGCATGAGTTGATTTAAACGGTCTGCAGAAATAAAAAGTGTTGACTTCAGCCAAAAAAAAGGAGGCCGCCTTTAACTGCATTCCTGATTTGTGGTGTGTGGGAGCAAAGGTTCGTGGGTTACACTCAAAGGAAATGTGTCTGGTATAGGGGAAGAGAGACAAATCTAAATAAGGAATTCCACAAGGGTGCATTTTTTCTCTATTTTTTTTTCCAGAATTTAGCATTTGACTTGTTATTCTGATTGAAAACAGCCGGTGCCTCTCTACACAGCTTTATAGGGTTAAAGCAGTGGTTCCCAAACTTGGTAACTTTAAGACTTGTGGACTTCAACTCCCAGAATTCTCCAGCCAGCTCTGCAGAGCTGGCTGGAGAATTCTGGGAGTTGAAGTCCACAAGTCTTAAAGTTGCCAAGTTTGGGAACCACCGAGTTAAAGTGCTGTTTTGTAGCCTGCTGTGTGGATTTAGTATGTGTGGTTAATTGATGGTATATTGTACAAAGCCAGACAACCAGATTTACTCACGAAACCATTCTCCATTTAATGAAGGATTTTCATTTTGTACACACATACCTCATAGTGGAATAAAATACATGTTTGATCGAACTCCCAATATTACTATAAGCTTAGATCAGAATTAGAATTAATGTGCTAAAAGAATAAAAGGAGAATAAATCACATTTTTTCTCGTACTGATAATGACAGCAGATTCGGAGCCAGTCCAGTTGTTCTATGCACAACGTTATTGGACTGAATCGTTACATCCCCTTGTGCAGAACGGAAATATTAGACTCCTTTAATTGGATAGGTGAGCTTCTTTAACACCATCTGGGTGCACTCACTCCTATTTCTCCTGCCAGGGCAGGAAAATAGTCCAGCATTGTAATAGTCCACTTGCTTGGAGTGGCCTGATTTAG